CGTGGTTTCGAATCCCCGGTTGTACGTGACAAGGAGTAGGGTCGCCTGTCCAACCTCGTGGGTTTTCTCCGGGTCCTCCGGTTTCCTCCCACTGCTAAAGACCCCTACGCGCAAGCGAATTATTGAAATAAAATTAAACCATATGTTAGTCCCGAAATGACCTAGTTTGTGTCGAGTGGACGTTAAACCCCATTTCTCTCTCTCTCTCTGTTTAACAAAAGGGAAACTGAACACTAACATCTAATAAAGAGCGGTGTCAAAACACACTATATATGGAGTCTTATTTACCACGTTATTGTATATCTTTAGCTGACCGGTATTACATGTAATTATATTTAAGAAACGGCCATGATGCTATCTTTATCCTGTGGTATAATATACAGGTCGTGTGTACATTGTCAATAACATGTGGGATTTATAAAGTCTGTAGTGAAACACAGCTAACCAATATAATGCAGTGGCCAGTTTAGAGTGTTAAATATTAGGTTTAAGTGCGTCACTGAATGCATCATTGAATGAATCACCGTCGTAAGAACCACTGCTTTAAATGGAGAAAACTGACCATAGAGTAGTCATCAAGTACCTGCAACTTAAAAGACTATCCTCAACAGAAATACATGCTGACATGGTCTCCACAGTAAAGAAGCGGGCTGCGGAATTTTAAGCGTGGCAGAGAGTCTTGGCTATGACCCGCTTCCCCGAAATGAAATGGGGTTTAGCGTCCTACTGTTTTGCTCCGAAGTGGGCTAATAAAGACGGGCCGCTTCCCCGAAGGCTATCAATAGCAATCATTCAAGTGAATGACATGGTGATTGTTGATCGACCGTAACATTTTGTCAGTGTTGTGGGCATCTCTCATGATAGGACTGAGCACTTTATCGCCAACGAGTTAGGGATTACACAAATTTCTGCAAGATGGTTGCCAAAGCGCTTGACTGCGACCAGAAACGTGTCAGATTCCTGACGTCCCATGACAATCTGCGCTGTTTTGAAGCAGATACTGATAATTTGTTTGGGCAGGTTTGTAACCATGGCTGAGACTTGTTTCCAAAAATGAAAAAGGGACCAGCGGGTAATTTTCCTACTAATGATGACGTCATGTCAGCTGTGAATGACCTTTTAGGGTGACAGAAGAAAATTTCTTCCTGACCGGTACCCAGGCCTTGCAACATCGTTGGCAAACGTGTGTACACCTTGAAGGAGACTATGTAGAAAACTAAATGGGAGCCATCGATTTTGAATAGATCTTTCACCGATAATCTTAGAATCTTTAGCCAGCCCTCATATATAGTATAAGTTTGATAAATGTTTTCAAGTTATGATCCCTTTGTCAAAATTAACCATAATATTCGAAATTAGAAACACAAATTAGAAATCAATATTTATTGTCCATTTTATTCAATATTGATATTGTTATCTTACGGTGAAAGTGTTGGATCTTGATGTCTAAAAGACAGAATTAACATTTTAAAACCAGCACATGACGTCGGGTACTCTATGGATATGATGCCTTCGGGTGCCATTTGTTATAAACAAAGAAATATTATCACAGAAGACAATACGGAAATAATCAAACTGACTGATTTACAAACGACATAATAATAATAATAAACCGGTGTGGAAGGGATTGTTTGCTAATTTCACCGAATGTAATCACTTTATATACACTCATATTACATTAAAATGCGCATTTAGACATACATGTAATTTCGTCTTTTACGTACTAGAGCATCGAGCGATACGTCCTTTAGCACACGAGCGTTGTATCCATCTTCATATAGTATTTCTTTTGTTAAAACTAATCTACATTAATCATGCATGTTTTTATACCTTAAAAAGTTGAAATCCATTTTAGAGATTTATAATACGTGTAAAGCCATTCTTTTAAATTAGATCTTACATCATACCATGGATTGGCATATAGAAAGTGGTTATAAAAAGTATTAAAAGCTTACTACTTAAAAGGATTATTTTGTGTTTTGATATTGGCATACGCGCTAATATTAACGGCGCATTAACAATTTATTGTTTCTACTAAGACCGGTGTGACAGAATGGATTGACTCAGTTTGGTTTCCTCCTGGGCAAATGCGCATGTCCGAAATGATTGTTGACAAAACAAAACTTCACCTACTTTCACCGATGTGAGATGGTCCCGGATCAGTCCAGGAAAGAGTATTAAGCCTACTATAAGATCCGTATTTGGTTGTAGTTTTGTCATTAATAAACAATGTTATTTTTATTGAGATTAACGAGCAAATAAAACTACCCGTCTCCTCTAAATGTAAGTATACATAAAGCATGGTTCATTATTATGAGAGAGCCACCATGCATCAGTGAGTAAGACTTTGGCTCGCTAACCCGGAGATTGAACCCCTTTACATTTCATTTCATTATTATGTTTCTGTTAAATCTGACAGTAAATCTTTTCTATGTACGTATATTTGTTATTTTGCTTTTTCTTCTTTCGATATCCCAGTTACCAGATGTATTGCTGATGAAATTGCCAAAAATGTTGTTTTATGTGATGGCGATAAAGCATATTTTACCAATATATTAATATATTGAAATTCCTAACCAAGTCAATGTGCCAATTTTAAAATGTGTCTTAAATATTGGATATCATAAGCTCATCTTTTCACAGTGAGATAACAACATCAACGTAGATTCAAATTGACCAAGAAGTCGTGTTTGCAATGTCGAAGACTGGATGATATTGAGTTAAGGACTTGCTACTTTAAGTCTGTAATTATTATTGTTTTGTTAATTTTGTAATGCTGAATAAATCAAAAATAACATGGAAAGGGGTCACTTTCCAGTGGTTATTAGTATAATCTTTTTAGTTTAAAACATTTTGTTGTTTATATTTATTCTGGAATAATCGACTATTTAGCTTTTAGGTTTTATCGACTTAAGTGCTTGACTGCGATTGGAATTTATTGTTTTCGGGTTAATATTGCCATTTTCCAGATTGTTTTGTACATCTCTGTATCGTTGTTAATTGTTGTTAATTTTGTTATACGCCCAAATTTTCATGTGGACGTATATTGTCGTCACCCCTGTCCGTCCGGACGTCCGTCCACAATTGTTTGTGAACAGTCTACAGGTCACAATTTTTATCCGATTTCAATGAAACTTAAAATATAGGTTTATCACCCTAAGAGCTCGGTTCCTTTCGATATTGGCATGTATCGGAGTGTAACTTCATGGATTATGGCCCCTGATTGTACGAAAAATCACGTTTTTAGCTTGTGAACACGGTAGAGGCCACAATTTTTATCCGATTTGGTTCAAACTTGAAATGTAAGTTTATAACCCAAAGATCTCGGTTCCTTTCGATATTCGCGCATATCGGACCGTAACTTCCTGAATTATGACCCCTGATTGTATGAAAAATCGGGTTTTTAGCTTGTGGACCCTATAGAGGTCATAATTTTTATCCGATTGAAAAAACGGTATTATTATATCACCGTTAGATCCTAAAGACGACTGAGTTCGAATTTCGTAAAAATCGGCCCAAAATTGACAGACAAAATGGCCGCCGTTTGTTCTCAAATAGCGTAAAAATATGGTATATCAAGGTTGTGGACCTTATGGAGGTCACAAACTTGAAATGTAAGTTTATAACCCAAAGATCTCGGTTCCTTTCGATATTCGCGCATATCGGACCGTAACTTCCTGAATTATGACCCCTGATTGTATGAAAAATCGGGTTTTTAGTTTGTAGACCCTATAGAGGTCATAATTTTTATCCGATTTAAAAAAACGTATTATTATATCACCGTTAGACGTTAAGGACGGCTGAGTTCGAATTTCGTGAAAATCGGTTCTCAAATAGCGGAAAAATATGGTATATCAAGGTTGTGGACCCTATAGAGGTCACAATTTTTATCCGATTTTGTTGAAACTTGAAATGTAAGTGTATAACCCAAAGATCTCGGTTCCTTTCGATATTTGCGCATTTCGGACCGTAACTTCCTGAATTATGGCCCCTGATTGTAGGAAAAATCACTTTCTTTTTAGCTTGTTCTCTATCCATCTCTCGAAAATGTGGGCGTATCCTGCCTGGCAGCCGCTGGTTGTTCTTATTAAAACTTTAACAACTTATAGTGTTTAATTACTCAAATACAAGCCTTCTGTAATGCAAACCATGGACCTAAATGTAAAAACACTCATTTCCTGAACATGAATTTATCTCCACATCTCATAGACTTAAAGAAAATATAGGACAGTGGTAAATACTCTTTTCAAATTTGGGTTCAAACATGCAAATCAGTACTAATACAAGGGAAATTTTGGATTAAATTTTTCAATGTGGGTAGGAATACTGAATAGCTGATCTAGTCAAATAATTGTTGACGGTAATAATAATAATAATATAAATCGACTATTTGTATTTATTGAAAGAAACCCGATACCCTATACTGATGGTAATACTCTAAATCTAGGAACATAATATTTATAGTGTAGAAACCGATTTGACCGGTAATCACACACTAGGGATCATCATTTTTATTATGAAATCTGATATATTTGGAGGTACCGAGGAAATGATGTATTTTTAATCGTCCTTTTTATTTTCGAGGCCAGTATCTATAATTTAACGGGTTAAAATATACTCAAATTGATTATTTAACAGTTTATTTTCGAGGCCAGTATCTATAATTTAATGGCTTAAAATATACTCAAATTGATTATTTAACTTTCATTGATGAAAACACATCAAAATATTAATGGTAGGTACCGTACGCCCCGCGGCCCGGCTTCAAACGGACTTAGAATGGCCCCATCAACATTAGAATTTTTACAGCTTCTGTTTAATCAAGCATGCTTATTTTTTTTTAACATACTGAAAATAGTCTTCAATTACTTTACATAGCTGTGTGTTTTTATATCAGAATGCGAAATAGTGAAGTGACAAAAGTCAGGAAAGCTACAAATTGGATTGAAATTCATGGATTGGTGGGAATGTGTTAAAGATGTAAATTTTGTATTTTTCAGAGTGTGATATTTCATGTTGAAAGACATCCACAATTTACCTGGTTTACACAGTGTGTTACCTTTAACTTCTTTCCATCTGCCCGCCATGAGTTAGCCTATAATCTCTTTAATGTCATTGCTGTATATGGTCTACCACTGGTCATCATCACTGCAACCTACTCCCTTATTTTATGTGAAATATCTAAAAAATCGAGGCAAAGCAAAGGTAAGAGTTTTTAACGTTTTTGTATGCCTATATATGTTAATAAATTTATATAATGTTATTGCTATAAGTTGTTGGTATTAAGTGATGGAGGGGGGGGGGTGTTGACGTCCACTCGCCACAAACTAGGTCATTTCGGGACTAACATAATGATTCAATTTTATTTCAATAATTGCCTTGGTAGTGGGGTGAAAAAGTAGGACCCGGAGAAAACCCACGAGGTTGGACAAGCGACCCTACTCCTTGTCACGTACAACCGAGGAATCGAAACCACGCAAGTTGACACAGTGACAGACCTTTCATCACCCCCCACTCTTCTAATTAAGCGAGAATGATGAAACTTTGTGTATAATTTCATTACATCAGTACCTTGACTAAGATCGATAATAGGCATTTTCGGCTCAGGTTAAGCAATTTGATTGGTTGTAATATAAGAGAAAGTCTAATATTCGGTTTCAGCTAATTCAAATTTTAACATTCTGAGTTATGCCCCATTTAACGTATCCGTGTTAACACACTTTGGCTTAGATTATCACCTGATCTTTCTGAAATTCGTATCTATAAGTTACATCGTATATTAGAGGATCGCCCCTTTTCATTTCCAACGAGGCTAACCTTAGGGTTTATGCAGTTTTCTAAAGAAATCGTTTTAACAATTTCAAGGCTAGAATTATTGTCCAATCTGTGTTGAATAATGTAACAGTTGAAGAACATACATACTTATCATCCGACCTTTTTTAAAGATTGTATTGGTTGCTTGGAGGGGTCGTACTGATTTTCAATAGTTATACCTGTTTGTAACGAATTTTTCTAAAATGTTGTAAATTTTGCCTGGATGTATGATAGGGGGGATCCCATTGAATTAAATGATTTTTGATGTTAAATTTTAAAGATATGCCCCTTTGCAACGAAACCTTGGAAACTGTGCAAGTGTTGCAATTATCACACAATTGGTTTGAATTGTCTAGTAATTATAACACCTATGTTGCCTGCAATGGTGGTTTTAATTGTGATCAAATAACTAAACTTGATGAAGTGCATTAAAGTGAGCAAAGATTAAGTTTTTAAAAAACATACCAAAGCAAAACTTATAGAAATAGCCTGTTATTTTTATACGCCCACATTTTCATGTGGACGTATATTGTCGTCGCCCCTGTCCGTCCGTCCACAATTGTTTGTGAACAGTCTACAGGTCACAATTTTTATTCGATTTCAATGAAACTTGAAATATATGTTTATCACCATAAGATCTCGGTTTCTTTCGATATTGGCATGTATCGGACTGTAACTTCATGGATTATGGCCCCTGATTGTACGAAAAATCACGTTTTTAGCTTGTGAACACTGTAGAGGTCACAATTTTTACCCGATTTAGTTTAAACTTGAAATGTATGTTTATAACCCAAAGATCTCGGTTCCTTTCGATATTCGCGCATATCGAAACGTAACTTCCTGAATTATGGCCCCTGATTGTACGAAAAATCGCGTTTTTAGCTTGTGTACCCGATAGAGGTCATAATTTTCATACGATTTAAAAAAACCATATTATTATATCACCGTTAAACCCTAAGGACGGCTGAGTTCGAATTTCGTGAAAATCGGCCCAAAACTGACAGACAAAATGGCCGCCGTTCGTTCTCAAATAGCGTAAAAATATGGTATATCAAGATTGTGGACCCTATAGAGGTCACAATTTGTATTCGATTTTGTTGAAACTTGAAATGTAAGTTTATAACCCAAAGTTTGTGGTTCCTTTCGATATTCGCGCATATCGGACCTTAACTTCCTGAATTATGGCCCCTGATTGTACGAAAAATCGCGTTTTTAGCTTGTGGACCCTATAGAGGTCATAATTTTTATCCGATTTAAAAAAAAACGTATTATTATATCCCCGTTACACCCTAAGGACGGCTGAGTTCGAATTTCGTGAAAATCGGCCCAAAACTGACAGACAAAATGGCCGCCGTTCGTTCTCAAATAGTGTAAAAATATGGTATATCAAGGTTGTGGACCCTATAGAGGTCACAATTTTAATCCTATTTTGATGAAACTTTAAGTGTAAGTTTATAACCCAAAGATCTCGGTTCCTTTCGATATTCGCGCATATCGGAACGTAACTTCCTGAATTATGGCCCCTGATTGTACGAAAAATCGCGATTTTAGCTTGTGGAGCCCATAGAGGTCATAATTTTTATCCGATTTTAAAAAACGTATTATTATATCACCGTTAGATCCTAAGGACGACTGAGTTCGAATTTCGTAAAAATCGGCCCAAAACTGACAGACAAAATGGCCGCCCTTCGTTCTCAAATAGCGTAAAAATATGGTATATCAAGGTTGTGGACCCTATAGAGGTCACAATTTTTATCCGATTTTGTTGAAACTTGAAATGTAAGTTTATAACACAAAGATCTTGGTTCCTTTCGATATTTGCGCATATCGAATTGTAATTTCCTGAAATTATGGCCCTTGATTGTAGGAAAAATCACTTTCTTTTTAGCTTGTTCTCTATCCATCTCTCAAAAATGTGGGCATATCCTGTCTGGCAGCCGCTGGTAATTGAATATACACTAATTCTTAAAAGCAGCGTTTATTTGGGTAACTACCAATTCATCAATGTAATTATTCATTGGCAATGCTTCAGTGTGAACTTTCTGTCGAAATCCTCACCAAAATCACCATATTTTTGTCACAACCCGTATACATATTATAGACCAATACTCTCTTCGACTTCTTCTGGCCCACAAATAATAGCACCAGGGCGTGACTTCCTTACTATTTGTTCAGCTTATTCATATAAACAATGTCTCGCTTAAATTGGCATTAACTAGGTTAATGGTAGTTGATGGAGCGTATGTTTGACATAGACTTCAAATTACATCAATAAATTGTAGCATGTACTTGGTTGTTATTCACGTCCTTTAATTATCAGGGTTACGCTGAAGTATACAAGTAAAAATGTTATTATTTAAAGACATATACATTCGTTTATAAATATGTGATTATTCTGTTCCCAAATCTATTTTCATGCGTAAACTTGTGCAACAAACTATTGAATTTTTTAAATTAAATGTGTCCCAGATTCCTCAATATTGAGGCAACACCAAATTAATATTTTTGTTTTAAATATGTAGGAGGCGGTTCAACCATCTCAAATACACTGCTCCGCCTTTAACATTTGTATGGGATTGCATTTTTTTAAAATTTACTCAGAAATAAAGAATGTGACTTAAAAAAAAAGACTTTCGAAGGCTCTAACCAGTTTATATGTTTGATATATCACAAAACGTGACACATAATAAATACTTTACATGTCATATTTCTCTATAACCTGGTTCCTGGTCATTTGCTAAATATAAAGACCAATTGAGAGACTCGTCGTTAGCTTGGTTTCCGTTAGATTATGACCGGAACATTGCTCCGAGATTAAGAAATATGTTCAACCTCATATACTAATCAAGCATCATCCACCACCAGACTTTGCGAATAAAACAAACATGATATCTACCACTCATTCTTCTATTAAGACTGGTAAGATGAGTCCAGTTATTCCCATCTATATATTTCTCTGGGCCGACTGAAATTCAAATCTTCAAGAATCTGAATTAGAACAATTTTTTAAACCGACTGCATTAGTGTAGATTAAGCTAAAACGTTTTTTGGCAAACCAGAGTAATGCAGAATCACATCCGGTTACATAAAAGATTATCACGACAAAAATTAAATCGTCTGATTTATGCGTGCACTTGCACAATCTCATTGTCATCAATGTCGGTTAGAAAGCAGTAAGAATATCTTTAGCGCATTCAGTATCGAAGAAAATTCGCTTCATTACGAGTATTAATATTAAGCTTCATTGTACTTTGCCATATTAACTGCATGAAAACAAAAACATTAAACATGCATTATGCTAGAGCTAAATATGCCTATTGCAGGTATTTCTTTAGGCCTAAAATATTATCTAAATTATTAATTAGACATTAATTAACTTATCCCAACCATAATCAACTCTCGATTCCATCGTTAGCCTGCGTAATTAGGAGATTTGAATACATTTTGTGATGAATAATTCAACGTAAAAATGGATAATCGAAACTTTGTTTATCTTACCAACGTTAGTAATGGTCGGGGCTGGCCTAAAATTGAATCGCTATAATCGGTTTAGATTGAAGCAATTTGACTGAAATTTTCAGAATATTCTGTTTTCATTATCTATTTTTTAACTATTATAGCGAGAACTGTTAGCTCTTTATCTAACCTTACCCGTGTTATCTAGCAGTAATATTATATTTTCGCTATTGTCTTGTTTTGTTGTATTTATTGAAATAGCAGTATTGTCAATGACGAGAAATCAGATGAAGACTAATTAAAAGTCAAAATAAAAATACATCGGTCCGATTGTGTATCGAGTTAAAGTGGTTTTAAATAAATTTTCCTAATTCGACTATGTGGTGCCTTTTGCTTACTCCCTGTAAACCTATTCGATGGCGTCGATATTGGAATGTAACAGGATTCTGTATTCTGCAAAGAAACGCCATTCTTTTAAAAATATAAACTTATTAAGATCGATCAATACCTAATCTATCAGGGTTACAAAGTAGAGGAATTTGATGAATAAACCACTGTCTCCTGATTTCTATAAATGGCTGACCTTTATCAGACGTAAGTGGATTGAATAATCTCTACTAACTCGACGTTCTTCAATAAGTGCATTCAGGTTATCTACTTCCCATCAGAATTAAATGAGAATATAAATTGGCATCTATGGATTAAACAATGGCGGTGGTGGCTTTCTGGCCCAATGAAATCCAATTTCTGAAAGAAAATACATGAGTATAAATACTTTTTTCATGAAATACGCCTGTTTTCAGATTGCTTCCAGACAAATGCCAACGACTTTTGGCCGGTACGCTTTAAGTGTACAGGGGATAATAACTAAACCCTTCGTATGAATTCCAATTTCCCGGAATAAGATTCCAATATACATTTATTCTATGTGTGCT